TAATAATAATAATAATAATAATAATTAATAATAATAATAATAATAATTCAATATTTATATTGCGCAAATTAACATGTGGATATGATCAAATGCGCATCACTACACTTTTCGGGGGACTTTGGCCGGACTGCATCAGCAGTTTTCAAACAATCGAAGGAAACGTATTTGAAGATGCCCCCTCCCCACCAATTCCCAGTAAATAGGCCAGACCACATCACAGTAATCTCGTGACTGGGTCCCCTGCCTAACCAAATTAACTAATCAATAGATGCAGGAGACGGGACCTGCGGTTTATTCGTCCTTATCCGAAAAGACTAGAATGTCTATCCATTTCTTGATATTAGAGAAAGGTAGCGCACTCTCCTCAGTTATTTTAAGACCTTGAGTGTTGGTCCAGCCGGGGCTCGAACCATCGACCTCGACCTCCCGCACAACAGTCCGGGGCTCTAACCAATTGAGCTAACCGGGAGGCGGTTTAGTTAGAGTTGTAATTACTACCATGAATCCAGTTGACTTGGACTTATTAACATGATCATATTGGTAGTTAACTGTCATTTACATATTTACACCATGTACAGAGATTTTTCTTTCTACCTGGGGGACTTAAATAAATCAGTAACAGTTTGAAGGTCACTTGAAAGAGAATTGAGGCTCAATATTGAAAAACTGATGTATAAGAAATGATCTTCACACACAACAACCTTTTCAATACTGGTTTCATTATAAGCGAAAAACTTTGCTCCATCCAATGACAAATTAATCTTGTACTCTCTTGTCCATTCATCGGATTCCTTACTTCCTTGAGTAGCGACAGCACAGATAAAGTGCTCATACAGCAGGTCTATTTGTAAGTAGTCTTTAGGATCATTTCTTTGCTTGGGTCCCCAACCCCTTGCATTTGCATTTAGGCGACCAAGGAAAGGTTTATATCTATCGTCATAAAACGATGTGGCTGTGAAGCTGCTGTTTGGAATTGTACCACCACTGGCCAGACCAATGGCCTCCATGTTACATGCTGCAAAATATAATTTAAAGTCAGTTTCAGATTTTTCTCTTGAATCACGCGAAACGCATTTTAAATGCACAGACAATCAACAAGAATAAAAACATCAACACATATTTGGCGGATTGATTTCCAGTGAAAAGCACAAGTTAGTTCATACTTGACAAATAAATCCCAATGTAATGTGCATTTGGTGACAAATATGAAACGTGAAAAGAAAGTGACTGATAAGAAGCAAAGACAATAATTACACACAAAACTTTGCTTGATTTCGTTATATCAAACAGTCCAGTCTGCTCTTTCTTAGGATAGTAAACTTTTCTGAGGGATTCCTATCCTCAATGTTGTGTTCCCTCTTTAAGTAATTTGCGATGGATGAGCTCTACTGGTCAGAAATGCGTTGATTAAAAAGTTGCTGTGTGAAGTTGACATCACAAAACATTTATTTCCTCACTCACTTGGCTTTTGTTTCACTCCAAATACTTCTGTTCTCATACAAACCCCACCCTGGTCAGTTTGAGGCCGAAATCGCAGATATCTTGTTAACACTCCATAAACAATTTGCTTAACTTTTGTGTTCCTATCATCATTTCCTTCAAATACCTAGAAAAATGTAAATAACCATTTGTCATTACAATATTTTTTCCAAGTTGATAGGCCATGAATAAACTTGTTCCTTTCAAGTCAACCCGAAGGCTGTTTTAATCTTTGCAGCTTGGTAGGCGAAAGTTTGCCCCAATTAATTCAAGGAAGACTTTTGGATCTTCTTTTGTTAAAAGAATGAACAGTTTGAGTGTGGAACTGACGACAGTTAAAATCAATTTTGCCAATTATATTTGTCGAGCGGTGAAAAAGTTGTCTAAAGGGGCTTGTTTCAGTTGATGAGCTTCGGGGTGAGTAATGAATGAAACAAAACCTCGGCAGCTTTATTTTGTAGGTATTGTTATGCTGACAAAGTTTTCATTATTCTTATTCCCCATAATACATGTATGACTATGTGATTAAGTGTGTTACACCTAAGTATTTGTATGACAATTTTTTCCAATCAACTCTTATGCTGTTATATAGCTTAAATCAAAATTTCCCAGATACGTTTAAGCTTTTGAGTACTTTCCAAGATGACAAATTTAATATTTCGATATGTCAAGAGATTTCTTGATTTCTGACACTGTTTCCAGGTCATCATTGAGGTGATATTAAAGGTCACTAAGGTTTCAGGATAATTAATACATCATAGTATCGTTGACAAGAACAATAATATCACTAAATGGCTGACAGCCTAGAAGATCATCACATAAATAAAAAAAGAATTAGTCCCAGGATACTGCCTGGGGTTACCCTTTTAAGCACTTTATTAGCTGCTGCCCAAGCACCTCAGACTGATGTAATTTGTAACCTATGTGCGAAGTAAGATCTAAACCACTGGGTGGTAGAGGTGGTAAGGTGGTGGATGGCAGAAACTTCTCAGTAATTTAAAGTTGTTTGCTCACAAGGCTCCACGAATATTGTTGAATAGTCAACCAGATACTGAATCTGCTAAACCTAAAGAATAAAATCTTGTATACGTACGATGCACGATCCTCGCAGTAGATAGCACTATTTATGCAATAGCGAAAAATCAGACCTGAAAAAAATCAGGCCTGTACGGGATTCGAACCACTGACCTCTGCGATACTAGTGCAGCGCTCTACCAATTGAGCTAACAAGCCAACTGGGAGCAGGCCGTTAAGTTGATTCGTAATAAACCCGTGAAAGTGATAAATCGGATACAATGTAAATATGAAGTTCATATATTTTGAACTGCGGTATTAGATACGTATGATGCACGATCCTCGCAGTAGATAGCGCTATTTAAGCAATAGCGAAAA